GTTTTTCACTATGTCAAAACTCTTAAGAGGTTTTTAAAAATCTCTCACTAATAAAATAAAGCACTCAATAATTCTCTACTCCCTCTTATGGTAAAATACCAATTATCATCAGAAAAGAGTCGAGAGAATAATAGGATAGTAAGACTGCATAAAAATTGTACCTTTAATACTTAGAAATTTTGAGAATTTTTGATTTTTGACATTGCCACTTTTAACATTTTTCCTTGTGCATGATACTTAACATATTTATGCCTCAATCTCTTTATCTGTAAAATGGGAATAGCATTTGCTTTAGAAGGGCCTCATGGCAGTTTTCAGAATTTTATGTATATGCAAATGACAATACCTTTTGTTCTTCTTCCTCTTCTTCTTTCTTCTCGTTTCCTCCATATACTCCTCTGCCTCTTCTTCCCATCTCTTCACCCCTTCTTCAATGTTCTTCTTCCTACTTTTTATGACAAAGCATTATATAAGATATAATTGAAAGCTTATGAGTTTCTAATTCAGAAAGACAAGAATTTTAATACAAATCTAAGTGTGTGTTTTCTTTTTCCTTGGACACAGTGCAATATTGCTGACCCTTCTTATTCTTTTTTAGGTGTTATTATTATTGTTATTCCCCTTTACAGAGGAAGAAACTGAGATACAGAGAGTTGAAATGAAAAACTTAGTATGTGGTAGAACCAAGTTTTAATGCAGCCAATGTGTGTTGTGTGTCTTGCTTATAAACAAAAGCACTTAATGTACTGCCATTTGAGAGATATTAATGACAGCCATTAGCCAAAACTCTCAGGTTCTGTGTAATTTCATGATTTGATCATCTGACTTCTGATTCACATGACCTTGTATCAGGACGGGGGTTCTATTTTTGAAGGATTTCTACGTGCCTATCAATTTGAGACAAAGGAAGGCTTTTAAGTATTCTTTCTATTTTATTAGATATAGACATAAAATAACATTAGTTAATATTTAAACCTAGAAATTTAACGTATGTTTAAAGTCCCTTTAATACTATATTAAGAACAAAGTGTGAGATCAAATTTTTTATCATTAAAAATTATTTGAATTTCAAATTGATGATTTCTCCCTACAGTGGTAACGAATATAATCATTTCTATGACCCCAAAGGAGCCCACTACTCACCTTTCTTTTGGGATATACTTAGAAATTCTATAATATAGCGAGCAGTTCTAATTTCAAACAAATCAGTATACTTGGTTAAATATTATCCATTTTGACATTGATTTCTCGATGTCAAAAGGTAGACCTATTATATTGAAGCAATACATAAGGTAAGGAAAGGCAGTATAATGAGGTGGTTTATGCCCTGAAGTCAAACATATTTGTGTCTGCATTTAAACTTTGCAAATTATTGTTTTATTATCTTAACATGTTATTTAACTATTCTGATTCTTGGTTTTCCTTTAACAAAACTGGAGTTTATATAGCAATATTCCAAGATTGTCTAAAAATTCTATATTTGTATATAAAATATAGCCCCATGTTTGGCACATGGCTAGTTTTCTGTAAAGGAAAGTTATATTTTACATAGTGGCAATATATTAGAAATATTTATCTGGAAAGACTTATTTTATTGAGGTGGGAAAACGATTCAAGTAATACTTTTCCATTATAATTTAAGTATTTTGTACATCACTTGTTATCCCTTTCTCAAATGATTAGGAAGCATATTAGAATTTTCCATGGGGACTATTTTGTAGCATCAGTTCTTAAATTCTGTATCCAACTCTCACAATGCAAAAATGTGCATATGCTGTATAGACCATAACATACCATGCGTATGGGGATATAAGCATTATATATCAATGGAGATATACCTCGGGAGATATCATAGATACTCGACTGATAGAAACAATAAAACATGCTGTTTGGTCACAAGGGTGAAGGATTGAGAGGATGCAAGTAAGATGCTGAATTGTTATCTTGAGCAAGTGCAGACCCTGAGGCTGGAATAATTTACTGAGTTTTTCTTGTGGGTTTTGTTGATTTGTTTGTTTGTTTGCTTGCTTATTTTTTGGTGCAGATAAGTAGAAGGCAGGTAGGAAGTTCTCGGTTTGTTCATTTTAAGTTTGAGATTCTTGTGAGATATCCAAGTACAGATATCAGTAGACTTTTGGGTGTGAGGATCTAGAATTCAAGAGAGTAATCATGGTTAAATACGTTGATCTGGGAATTAGAAGTGTATAGGTGGCCCTTGTAGCTGTTGGATTGGAGAAGATAAAATTTGTAAAGAACAATGTGATGAGAAAGAAAAGAACCAACAATAGGTGGCCCGAGAATCTCCAGCAAGTAAATGCCTTAAACAAAGAGGAGATGACAAAGAAAATACAGAGAAAGTGCCAGAGAGATAGAAACATCGGGAATGTCGCAACACAGAAACCTAAGCAAGAGAATTTGAGTGAGGACGAGAGTAGTATTATCACATATGTCTAAGAAGCATAGAGAAATACAATATGTATCACTTGTATTAAATACTGTGATGTTCGTTGAATTGTATTAAAGCTGTGTGAGTCTTCATTGAACTTAATTAGACCACTTTAAGTAGAGCAACTTAGGGGGAAATCCAACCTGGAATGGGGAACGATGATCAATCAATGTGGAATAAGAAATTTGAGTTTGCTAGAAGGCATTCCTTTGTAGATAGTATAGATCTTTGAAGAAACTTAGTTTTCATTCTTCAACTTTATACTGTCTCTTATGTACCCTGAGTCACATTCTTGGGATTGCCTTCTATCTCTTGATTATTCCAGGTTTCAGCATTCTCTACTACTCAACAGTCTTCAAATACAGTTTATATTTTCCACTTCTTGAATTTTGGGAAAATTTGATTCCTCTTAGTGGAGTGCCTTCTGTCACAATATGCCAATTCACATTTACTCTATATGGTCCCAAAGAGATAACGCCTTTGTATGCCACTTATGATTTCCTACAAGCAGATGTATTCTTATACAGTTCCCAATATCAGTTCAGATATCCATTATTCACTGTATATAATCCCATAATGGTTCAAATATCCATTATTTACTCTATATAACCGAGTAGTTGGGAATGAGCATTCATATGTTATCATCGCAATTTGAAAGAGTAATTTGTGTTTGTTCAATCTAATGCTATAATAATAAAAAAGTGAGGCTTGTATTTGGTATATCAGTATTTCATTTTTTTCTAATAATTTATTTTCATTGTATTTTACAAATGTGTTAGCCCATGACAAAATAGGAGTTTAAAAAATGCTACTTTGTTCTACATAGTTTGAGAAGCACTAAATTAGATGGCATGAAATGATCTTTTCAGCATTGCCATGATTCAAACAGATCAAGTGACCTAAATGTTATTGTACAATAAATACGTCTTGAATGTGAAGATAGAACATGCCATATCCAGGATCTTCTTGGATTTCATTCTAAGGATCGCATTCTCTTAACAGGCAAGATAAAAATTACTCTCAAAGGTTTGTTTTGTAAATATAGAAAACAACTTGTAGCTAAAATGACTTAAATTTTTAGACCAAAGAAAAGCGAATAAATCCTGTTTTCTTTGGAAATTTTCTACTTAAATAAAGTAAACCCGAGAAGATAGGGAGGACAAAGAAATACTAGCCATTAAAAGAAGAAGATTAAATGGAACATATCGTGCAATTAGAAAAAAGTTTACTTCCTATTAAAGCAAGATTGAATGAAGAAAGTTAATACTTGGATGCACATTCAAAAAAGTACATAAGGCTTCAATAACATTTCTGTATATGGAAACTAGCAGTGAAATGGGACGAAATCAAGAGAAACATATAAAGATGAGAGAGCTATGCCTTTATGCCTATTCTGTTATTCAAATTAGACAAACAGCTACTTTAGGAGTGGCTACTGTACTTTAGATTACATGGAGTTGAAAATGAAACATATTCCATAGTCCTAAAATGCATAAATCTAATTGGAAAGACAAATTACACACCTTAAAACAAATTTTAATCTGATAAGTAGCACATACAAGTTTAACGTAAGTCATACTAAAAAGGCAGGGGAAACAATTATTTCATCAAAGAGAAACTTAGGTATGAGAATGAGAACCAAGGAATTATTCAGTTGAAGGAGGCACTTGAATTGACCTTAAACAATGTGCATTACAATACATTAACCTGGGTGGGGTAGAAAGAGCATCCCAGGGAAAAGGATTATCAAAGAAAAAGAGGCAGGAAAGTAACAAGCAAGGCTCCTTACCTGATATAATTAAGTACGTGATAGGATGTGACAGAATGGAGCAAACTGAGATTAAAATGCAATGTTTGTGACTGATGAGAGAGGGCGTGACTGCCTTGCTAAAGCATTTAGATTCTTTTCTTTCAAACAAGGTAGTGGTTTGTTTTTTCAGATCTGCCTTCCAGAAGTTAAATCTGCCATGTGGAAGACCAAATGAATAGTAGAAAGACTGAAAGAGAGTTCAGTAAACCTGAGAAGCAAATCTTTCATTGCCATTTTGAAGTGTCGTCTTCTCTTCTTGTATGCAAAAACAAGGGACCATTTCTCGATTGGATTGCGACATGCAACAAAAAGTGGATTTTATATGACAACCAGCAACAGCCAACTCAGTGGTTGGACCAAGAAGAAGCTCCAAAGCACTTCCCAAAGCCAAACTTGCACCAAAAAAGGTCATGGTCACTGCTTGGTGGTCTGCTGCTGGTCTGATCCATTACAGCTTTCTGAATCCCGGCAAATCCATGACATTTGAGAGGTCTGCTCAGCAAATTGATGAGATGCACTGAAATCTGCAATGCCTGCAGCTGGCATTGGTCAACAGATAGGTCCCGATTCTTCTGCACGACAACGCCCGACAGCAAATCACACAATTAACACCTCAAAAGTTGAACGAATTGGGCTACAAAGTTTTGCGTCTTCTGCCATATTCACCTGACTTCTTGCCAGTTGACTGCCACTTTTTCAAGCATCTCGACAATTTTTTGCAGGCAAAACGCTTTCACAACCAGCAGGATGCAAAAAAATGCTGTCCAAGAGTTTGTGGAATCCCAAAGCATGGATTTTTATGCTATAAGAATAAACAAATTTATTTCTCGTTGGCAAAAATGTGTTGATTGAAATAGTTCCTATTTTGATTAATAAAGATGTGTTTGAGTCAGTTTAATAGTTTGAAATTCATGGTCTGAAACTGTAATTACTTTTGCACCAACCTAATACCAGCTTCCATAAGGAATTTCCCCTAGGGAATGGCTGTTGCACAAAGCCTTGAATAAATTAGTATATAGCTAACAAATCCCAATTTACAAACTTGTTAATAACATGAAAATTCTCACATCTATTAAATATATTAAACAACTATAAAATGAAGAAATACTTATGTTCACAATGCAATTAAAGTATTGAAGATAATTTTTTCCTTTTATGTATGTATGTATAAACCGTGCTTGAGGAATAAATATTAATATAAAACAGTTCAAATTAAATATAAATTATTGGGTACATCTTAAGAACACACTTGAACCTATAATAAATACATACACACACATACACACATATAATATTTTAATCTTTACTGAATATCAGTAAATCAACTGAAAATCAACTCTGTGTCTTAGTCACTTAGTCAATTCGGGCTGCTATAACAAAAATGCCATAGACAAGGTGGCTTATAAACAAATTTAGCAGGTCATGTTGGCGGTGCAAGTAACATTATAATTAATATAACAAAATGGTTGATTTTATATTTTTAACATCAAATGAGCTGACTGTTCTCACTTCTTTTATTTTGCCCAAGAAAAGAATGTCTCGGTCAAGGATGGAGTGCCCATGCATGTCATCCAGTGGCCTGGGGATTGAATCACCCCACTTGATGCCACTGGCATCTGTGCATACCTTCCAGAAGCCTGAGGACTGGCCTGGCCATGCTGTCATCACCCATGCATGTTGTCTGGGGGCTGGGGATCAGCCTGCTCTGCCAATTTCTACAGCGCCCACACATGCCTTCCAGAGGCCTGAGGATGGGCCCACCCAGCCTGTAGCTGCTTGTGTACATCATCTGGGATCCTGAGGATTGACTCGTCCCCACCTACCAGTGCCTGTGCGTGCCTCCTGGGAGCCTGAGGATGGGCCCTGTCGGGCTGCAGTGACAAAAATTGACAGCACTCACCTGCAGCTACCACCTGGGGGCCTGAGGACTTGCCCATCAGACTGCTGCCACCACTGCTCGTGGCGGTGCATGCTTCTTGGGGGCCAGAAGGCAGGCTTGCCAGCACTATTATCATCACTGACACCATGCATACCACCCAGGGACCCAAGGACCTGCCTGCTTGCCTGGCCCACCACTGCCACTGCAAGCGAATGAGCAAGCTGCCATATGGCTAAGAATCACCCCATCTGGACAGCTGGTGCCTCCTTACACCATGTGGGGGTCCAAGGACTGCTATGCTCTGGCCACTGCTGCTACCACTGGTGGCCAAGGATGAGCTCACTGGGCATCTCTGTCCACAGAAAAGCCTCACCACAGCCTCCACTAATAACTGCAGCCTTAGCCACTGATGAATTCACAGATACCGTGGATATTGATTATGGCTGAAAAGAAATCATATGGAGAGGAGACTACACTTCAGTGCCCACCTAGAATCAAAGCCAAAGTACTCTACTCAACAAACTCTACAGATATAGATATAGGGAAAATCTTTCCCTATGAAAGCCAATCCATAAAATTAGAAAAGACTGTTATACTATATGAACAGTAATTAACACACAGACACAAGAAACTTGGAAAACATAACACTTGCAAAGCAACACAGTAATTCTTCAATAACATATCCCAATGAACTGTGTGAAATGCCTGAAAAAATAATTCAAAATAGTGATTTAAGTAAGTTCAGTGAGATGCAAATGAACACAGATAAATAATGCAAAGAAATCAGAAAAAGCAATTCATAATCTGAGTGAGAAATTTAACAAAGAAATAGATATAAAGAACAAACAAAACTGGAACTGAAGAATTCAATGAATGAAATAAAATATGTAATCAAGAACTTCAACAATAGATGAGGTCAAGCAGAAGAAAGAATTTCTAAACTTGAAGACAGGTCTTTTTAAAGAAAATAGACAAAAAATAACAATAATAATAAATTAGAAAGTCTGTGAGAGAGTTGGGACACCATAAAGGGATCAAATATTTAAATTTTGAGTGTTCCAGAAGAATGGATAGACAAAGGCATAGAAAGCCCATTTAATAAAATAATAGCTGAAAATTCTCCAAGTCTTGCAAGAGATTTAGACATCCAGATATAGGAATATCAAGGAATCCCAAATAGATTCAACCAAAAATAGTATTATCCAAAAGACATTATAGTCACACTGTCAAAAGTCAGAGACAAAGATAGTTCTATCTTTGAGGTAGTTCTATCTCTATCTCAAAACAGTAAGAGAAAAGCATAAAGTCACATAAGGAAATACCTGTCAAACTAACATTTCTCAGCAAAAAAAACTTCCAGGCTGGGAAACAATGACATGACATATTCATTCAGGTGCTAAAAGATAAAATTCTCTCAGCAAAGAATCCTATACACAGAGAAGCTAATCTTTAAAAATGAAGGAGAAATAAATTCTTTCCCAGACAAGCAAAAACTGAGGGAATTCATCATCACTAGACCAGCCCTGCAAGAAATTCTTAAGGAAGTCATACATCTGGTAGCAAAAGGACATTAGCCATCGTGAAAACAAATGAAAGTATGAAACTGTATAAAATCTCCATCAATTGATGAATGGATGAAGAAAATGTGGTATACATAAAAAAAGAAAAACTATTCAGCCATAAAAATTAATGAAATCCTACCATTTTCAACAACATGGAGGGAATAGGGGTCATTATATTAAATGAAATAAGCCAGGCACAGAAAGATAAATATTGCATCTTCTCACTCATACGTGGGGGTTAAAAAGTTTATCTTACGGAGGTAGAGAGTAGAATGATAGTTACTAGAGGCTGGCAAGGGAACGGGGTTGATAAAGAGAGGTTGGTTAATGCATAGAAACATACAGTTAGATGGAAGGAATAAGTTCTAGTGTTTGATAGCACAGTAGTGTAACTATAGTTAATAAAAATCGATTGTATTAATATATTTCAAAATAGCTAAAAAAAAGGGTTTTAAATGCTCCCAACACAAAGAAAGGATAAGTGTTCAAGGCGTCAGATATCCTAAGTGCCCTGTTTTGATCATTACACATCATATGTATTTATCAAAATATCACATGTACCCTATAAATATGTACAATTATTAGGTATCAATAAAATAATGTTCAAAAACAAATTTATACATTTATGCATGGATTTGTGGCTGCATGAGAAGTTGGCCCTTCTAACCCCTGTGTTGTTCAAAGGTCAATTGTACACATATACACACATACATATGTATATATACATACATATATATGCACAATATACACATAAATATATATATGCACACACTCACATATATAGTACACATATTATATCAATAATGTACAAGATGTAT